TATACAGGACTTGTTGGTCTGTTACGTGATTGTTGTGAAGCCGAATTACCCGAAAGTTACAGATAAAGTCAAAAGCTTTTACTTATATACTTTATCTTTATCTTTCTGTTCTGTACTTTCTATTGTCTTTTGCTGTCAGTCTACTAGACAAAACAACTCCACTGTCTCTCATTATTTAATCATCAATATTAATTTAGGAGTAATATGACGATAGATTCTCGCCCTAAGATAAGTAATGGGACACCATACACCGTAGTCACCAGGGCTTCAGCCAAATTAGGCTAACAGGTGAAGGTGATGGACTCTCGCATACCGGTCTTGAAGACCAGGGTAAATATTCCCTGCGTGGACAGATTGCCCATGTCGCCGCAGTCCTACAGTGAAACTGTGAAAAGTCAACTAAGCGGATGTGGCTCCATCCCTGTTAACACGACTAGGTTAATAGAGCCGAGTGCTAAATCTGCACTAAATGAGAATTGTATACCACCCATCTCCATAGTAGGCCTTTAGACAAACAGAAAGGCCAAAAAGAAACGTTCACGACGTCGCAAGACGACGAAAACGTTCCCCGAAAAGGCAGACGATTGCAAGGTCAGCGAATCTGTTGTCGAACAAGTAGACTCTGCCTTCGAATGCAACTTTTGCAAGCAATGGGTACATTGTAGATGCGACACCGGGGTACCAAAAGTATATCATGATTTTATGCGTAAGAACCCATGCCCATGGTTCTGGTACATATGCCCAAGTTGCCGTCATGATGCAGCCTCGTGCAGTTCCTTGAAAGCCAAAGATGGCGTAGAGGTATCAGGGAAAAACGTGAAACGTTCTACTCCCACCAACTCGGAAAACAGCAAAATTGCACGTAAATGGGGGATACCAAAATCCACACCGGTTAAACTTGCAATTCTTGCCATAACTGCTCCAGACACAGGGGCTGAAGCACCAAGGGTATCTGTCGCTGGGAAAAGACCCTTATCGTCTGCCAGTAATAGTGGCCACGGCACTGAGACACACAATAATATCCAGTCACACCAGACGAAACAAAACGGTCTTAAAGGGGATGACAAATGTGCGAGGACCAAACCTAAATCCACGGTTAGTAGATCAAACTGTGTAATCCTCTTTAATGTACCAGACTGTAGCAGTAGCCTGCTGGAAAACAGGGCCCTGTTTGATCAAGAACAGTGGTCCAACTTGTGCAGCACACTGGGTCTGGACATCCAACCAGTAAAACTATGCAGATTGTATAGGGACACTGCTGCTCCTCAAGGCAAACCATCTCCACGGAGGGTAACACTGGGCTCTACCGAGGATGTCAAAAAAGTTTTACTGAATTCTCAAGTCCTTTCTATAGGGAGGGCCTGCAATATACGTGTTAGGCCAGACAGGCCATGGAAGGAAAGACAGATGGCGAGGGAGTCGCCAGAGCTTATTCCTTCTGACTCCATGGTTGTTCACGGCATTCCCGAACTGGTAACTGGGAACGCTTGCGATAAGTACTGTCACGATGTACAGCAATGGAGATGGTTGACATTTCAGATGGCTCTGGGAAGTTCAGGGGCTGTCTCTATTTATAGACTGCCTCGACCCACTCACCTTATGTCAATTAACACGCCACGTCTGTTAGCTGTTAAGTTCACCTCCCGAGACCACTTGACTACTGCTCTCCAGAGATGGTACGAGACCAAGGACAAGGTCAGCAGGCACATTCGCTGCTGCGAGAGCCGGCATCGTATCCAAGGCAGAGAACAAAGCGTTGTCAAAGAAAATCCCCAACTCTTAGTCACAATACAGCGGTGCAGCACGGACGATGATAGCCGGTGTCATCCAAGCGCTCCGACTGAACTAGAAGAAAAAACGCCAACAGGCCAGTTCCCGGGGAATCGGCCAACTAGTTCGTAGGATAACTCCTCAACCGACAGCCCACATCACGTCAACTACCCGCAATACGGGGACGTGGTGAGACTGACTACCAGTTGCCTGTACAGTAATGTGAGAGGGCTAAGAGGCAAAATAGCTGAACTTAGACACCCACAATCACAGCTGAACTCCAAAATCATAATACCGACGGAAACCTGGCTAACCCCTACGGTGGCAGACAGCGAAGTCAGTATAAATGATATGGTCCTAGTCAGGCGAGATAGGGACCTGAAAGAAGGAGGTGGAGTCGCCATATACGTCGACAAACGGTTCAGATGTGTTCACGCAGTGGACCTTCACCGTTGGGTACTGTAAATATCTAGTGGGCAGCATTTATCGATCGCCTTCATGTGGAGCAGACCACAACCAGGTACTGCTGAATACAATTTCAGCGACACAAGACATGGGTTATGATCAAATTGTCATAGCTGGCGACTTCAATGCCCCATCTCTTAACTTGATGACGGGATATGCCCATGATAGATTTGATCGAAATCTGCTGCATACCATCAGGGAGGCTGGATTCACTGAAAATGTCAGAATGGATACTAGATGAGGCCCAGATGGGAAGTCTTCTAAACTGAATTATGTGCTCACTAGTGACCAGCTACTAGTGGAAACCGTTCAAATCACGACTCCCATAGGTAGTAGTGACCACGCGGTCATAGTATTCGACATGGTCCTCCACGAGCGTTTACAGTGGGACAATACACAGCCCTATCTGTGTTACAACAAAGCCAATTACACGAAAATGCGAAGACTTTTGTCTGAAGGAAATTGGCCAAAAAGTTGGACAGAGCTCACAGTAGAAGAACGCTAGGGAGTGGTAAAGGAGATTATTCACCAGGCCTTCTGCAGGCGAAGCGAAAAGCCTGGTTTGCGTGGCGAGTATCGAAGAGTCAACCCGAACATGAAGTGTACCTTGAACTCAGGAATCAATGTAACATACGAGTCCGGAGTGATAGAAGGACATTTCAGAGAAACCTCACCAAAAGCTTCTCGTGAACCCCAAAAGCCTATACAGGTTTATGTCTGAAAAAAACCGACCAACCAGGGAGCTTGCAATCTAGTGGGTTCTGATGAGAAATCTCTTACTAGTCTTGAAATGGCAGAGACATTCAGTCTAGCCTTTCACAGGCAACTAAACAGTAACGAGGATTTTACCCCCACAAAACCAACGTGCGAAAACCTGCTGGGTACATTTCAAATTACCCCGGCTATGGTACTGGTTAAATTGGGAAAGTTGGCTTCGGGAAAGTCTGCAGGTTGCGATGACATAAGCGATCCGTTTCAACACTCCTTTGATGTAGGGAAACTTCCATGTGAATGGAAACAAGCCATCCTATCCCCTATCTTCAAGGGTGGTGACCGGCAGAATGCGACCAGTTACAGACCAGTTGCGCTACTTCCAGCGATATCGAAGTTATTGGAAAGTCTCATCGACGACCAAATGAGAAAATACTTCGACGGGACTAACCTACACCATGAAGCACAGCATGGTTTCAGGAGGGTAAGATCCTGTGTGAGGAATCTCCTACTAGCTTGGAACGATTGTACACTATCCTGGGACGTAAAGGAACCAGTCTATGGGATCTTTCTCGACTTTGCGAAAGCATTCGACACAGTTCACCATGGTCTGCTCCTTCACAAAATGAGCAAGGCGGGTGTTTCTGGAGCACTTCTCGCATGGCTGAAAGATTACTTAGGCGAGAGAGAATTCTGCGCCAAAGTCAACCGCATCCGATCATCCTGGGACACCTCGGCGTCAGGAGTTCCTCAGGGTTCTATCTTAAGGCCGTTGATGTTTCTGATTTTCATCAACGACCTGCCCTGTCAACTGAACTGCTCTGCGCTTCTTTACGCTGACGACCTAAAGATTTGGAGAGCAATAAACTCATCGGAAGACTCCGACAGATTGCAGGCTGACCTGCAAACTCTGGGAGACTGGGCTCTGGCTAACGGAATGCCTTTCAACCTAAAGAAGTGCAAAGTAGTGCAACTTCATTCCGGCAGGCTACAGAGTGTAAATTACACCCTTGGTGGCCGGAACTTGAGTTGTGTGCCATCAGAACTCGACCTAGGTCTTATCTTAACAGAAAAGCCAGACACCAGTGTAAATTACACGAGGGACGTCGCCAAAGCTTACGCAACTTTACACTTTATGCAGAAGCAGCTGGGAGCTCTTACTCCCGAACTATTCTTAAGGTTGTATACGACATACGTGAGGCCACTCCTTGAGGTGCATAATATCATTGCTCCTCCGCTACTCAAAAGGGATGCTAACATTCTAGAAAGTGTCCAGAGATGAGCGACAAAATGGGTGATCGGCCTCCACAACAAATCATATGAGGAAAGACTGAAGAAATAAAGTCTTTTAACACTTAGTTACCGTAGTCACAGGGGAGACCTCATCACCGTCTATAAGATCTTAAATGACCAGACCCACCCTAATAAAAGCGTCCTGCCATTAAGTGATTATAGGCTTCCACGAGGTAACCCGCTGAGGATAGCACACAAGAGACCAAAGACTCGAGCGCGTTCACATTTCTTTTCGCTTTGAGTTTTCCATCTATGTGTCTCAGTGGCTTATCCTCTTAAAATTTGAAACCACAGTGTCAGTGGATAAGCATACAAGCTGAATCCCCACGACCCGTTCTGTCTTCTTTCACTGTACCGACTACTCCATCTTTTCCTTAGGTCCTTTATTATTTCACCTTTATTATTTCACTTATCTCAACCCATTTTATCTACACTACAACCTATTATTATTATTCTGCTTTTATGACTACACCGAGTGACCAACGGGTGCTAGGACAAACTCCATTCACGGCAGCAATTCAGTCTTAACATACTGCACACTACAAACCACACCTTGACCAATCCTCGCACCACTCCTCTTGGAGTCTACCTGAGCTAAAGCAGTCGAGTGGCGTGACTTACTACGCCTAAGTCCACCGATGATCTGGAACCTCTACCTTACAATCAAGAAGCGAGCTCAAAGAAATCACTGGTTTATACTAGCTCGTAATCAGGATATTGGATATTAGTGCTTGCAACGGCACTGTGCTAACACATGCCTTCACTGTCTGTACAAGTGTTCACCGTCATTAACTCCCTGTTTAGTGCAGATATGATACTAAAATAGATAGATGTACTGAATCATAATCCAGCGAAGATGTGGTTTCAATCTTTAAAGTACAGTGTGAATGGTGAGTTATTTAAAGGGGAATAGTAGGTTAAATAAAATGCATTGGATATTGGATGAGGAATACTTGCACATTTTCGACTGTTACGCTACTGTCTCTTAAATTATGCATAATTCTGGTGATATGAAGAGTACTCTTGGCGTTGAGTCTGAATCTCAAAGTATTAATCAATTTTAATTAAATGGTATAAACTTCAGAAAACATATCAGAGACATCTAATTCCGATGGAACTTCTCAAATCCCGGCCCCAACTACAATCAGAACTAGGCGGCATAAGTCTAATGATGAAGTTATTCTCTCACCCACCTTTTCAAAACCAAAGTCAACAACCGAGCTTCGGAAATCGCTGAGATCTCGGGTTTTGTCCAATCGAAGCAATCAAAGCAGGAAAAGGGCCTTGACAGGATCGCGTTCTAGACGTCATGTGCTTAAAAAAGAGGCACGTAAATTAGCAATTTCCCCAGCCCTTATCACTCTTAAAAACTGTGTTTTCCATGAGGTAGGCTGCAATTTTTGTTTCTCCTACCATCAAGAATGTTTGGTATCGTGTTGGTGACATAGTTTCACTGTTGGATATGGATGGAGAGGTGTATTATGCTCAAATCAGAGGTACGAAAGCTTATTGCTTAAACTACTGTTAGGACTTGGAACGGATTTCGCTGGTGATAATTGTTGTTTTTTGACTTGGTTGATTCCAGTCTTAGGTTGTAGAGATGAAGAATTTCGGCCTTCGGATTATATAATTGGTAATTAGTTTTTCTTTTATTCTAATCTACCTTAGGTATGGAAGAGGATGTAATAAGAGATTTGAGTTGCTGTAAATTGGTGTGCCGTTGTCCTGCTGATTATTTTCAACCTATTGCTAGTCCTTATACAGTACAGTCATTTAAGTAGCTTATAGCGTCCATCCTTTCCTTTCATTTGTATACACAGATCCTAAATACAGTACGTTTTTCCTAAATAAACTGTTTTCTTATTTGAAGCAATATTAATGAATTGTTGTAAGAGCGAGAGAATTTTCACCTGTAGTCTGAATTTAGCATCCCTTTAGTCCGCTGTCATTATAGCTTTGTTTGGCAACATGAAGTGTAAAGACCAATCGTTAATTAAATTCCCGAACTCACTATCTAAATTCCTGTGCGTTTCGTAACGGGAGAAATAGGGATGCAATGACGTGTAGTGCATTATATTATTTTTTGGCATTATTTTCTTTTGAAGTGCTTAAAATCCTCCGTACAAGTATTTAAAAAAAAATATTTACCTAGTGTAACTACTTTTCCACTAAGCCACAACAAGGAAGTGGCCAGAATTTTATCCTACTTGCATTGGACTACTGAAATAACTATTACGCGTGCTATTCCATCCTCTTCCTTTATGCGTATCGACGCTAAAATTCACGTAAAAACTTTGAATGCTCCTTCTAAAATATTTTCAGCATTTCCTACAAAAAATACTCTTCAGTAAATTCGAATGATAGACGCCGATATGTACACTTGTTAATTGCTCACGGATGATAGGTTTTTATACGTTCTATGGAACTGGAACTAGTTGTTACATGTTAAGTATTTAGAATACTGTGCTACTAATCCATTTGGAGATAATTCAACTCAATTTTCCTGAGATCGGGTAACTTACTGCATTCAAACAGTTAATTTAAATTAACGAACTTTTCTCCAGATACTTTTAACTGCCTACTTCTAGGAGTGAATTAAGGGGCGTATAGCGACGAAAAATTTGCTCGGCATCTAACATATGCCTATGTAGAATGTAGGCATCGATCGTCAAAGCTGTATCCAAGTAGCGGTACCTGATGAGACAATTCCGGAGATGCTTAAAGACGGTGATGGGGAACTGTTGTCTGGATGAACCAAGATTTTAGGTAATGTGTGGCAATCAAACGCAGTGCCATCAAACTGGTGTGAGCCACTGATTGTCCCACCTTATAGGAAGCGTTCCTGTGGTGATAACGATACGAGGACTAGCTCGACTAACATAGTAATGTAAAGTTCTGGATCGACTAATCATGCGTAGACTAAGTGGTGCTCGGGAGAAACAAACCCTAGAAAACCAAGTAAGCCTTAGGCCGAGATGAGGGTGTATTGATCATATCTTCTCGAACATAGGCATGTTTCCTGGCGTCCAACACTTGCCATATAGAGGTATCATTCGATTACTTTGTTCGGAAGGGCTTTAGCAGCGGAATGCTGAAGAAGTATATCACACTAGTCAGGTTACTCTACTGGAACTCATGCAACCGCGTAAGGACTTGCAGGAAGTTGTCATCTGAACTGTTGACAACCAGTAGTGTCCGTTAGTGGTGCCCACTAATCCCAGTTTTGTTTATCATCACCATAGATGTACTAATGGATTTGATCGTGATCAACTTCAGTGACTAAGGGATTGAATTGTTACTGGGAAACAGTCTCATCGATGTGGGGTGTGAAGATAGTATTATCCTCATACGTGAGGACGCTGACACAATGCAGCGTCTTCTGAGTAGAAGCCTTGGGATGTTTGGAATGGGATTTAACCCTATCAGATGCAAGGTGATGTTTAAAGATAAGGGGTGAAATAGTTGGACGTGTTGACCACTTCGCTTATTTTGCAAATGTAATCAGCCTAAATGATCTGGTAGTTGATGAGATCTCAGCCTGGATACAAAAGGCTCGTGTGTCACTTTCCGAATTACGTCATCTAGCATAGACGTGGTTATAGATCTGGCTATAGATCAAAGGATGTGTTTACTGTGCAGTAATCCGTTCTGTCCTTCTTTGTGGCTGTGAGATATACCCACCGAGGATATGAAGACCATAAGTGTTCGCATTCCATTTCCAGTATTAAGTGGAGTAACATGGTGAGTAGTATTAATTTTAGACGTAGATTGTTAGGTACGCAAGGAAAGTCAGACAATGAGGTTGAGAAGCCGTATCAATTAAGATGGCTAGGACAGATGTTAGGCATACAAACCATCGCCTTCGTCGTCGTTGAGCAATGTTAGCTGACATAGGATTAAGTTCGAGAAGAGATAGGCATGGCCAAAACATCACATGGCATCAATACATGAAGTCTTCGGCTGTTGGTTTGAGTCATGTAGGGAAGTGTAGAGTGCTAAGATCTAATGGATGGAGACTTTCCATGATATGGCTAAAAGTTGTTCTCTGTGGCGTTGAAGCACTTACCCTTTGTTACCTCTAGATGCTTCTCCTCTACATTTCTGTTCATTAAAGTACTTTTGGATATTTTCTCTACGTTTGTTTGCTATATATATATATATATATATATATATATATATATATATATATATATATACTTTGGTAACTTGAACTGATCCACTTTGTGTGGAGTTTTACGCTTAAAACACAGTCGTCCACGTGTTTTAGGAATCTGACGTCCGTGTTCTGTCTAACTGTTTTGTTGACTAATTCAGATTACAGGTATTATTTTTTGAATGACTTTTCCATCTCTTGATTATTTGATAGCAGTGAAAATCTTTTCCCAAACTGGAGGCTATTGTATTGAATTTTACACTAATTTAGGTTTTTGTCTTAATTTTATCTGTTATCTCATCATACAGACTGGTATTTGTTTTCAGCATCCTGATTGCCAAAGTTTACACGAAGAATATTATTATTATTATTGTATCCTTTAATTCCTAGAGGAACATAGGGCTTTAGCCGTGCGTCTCCATTGCGTTCTGTTCTCTGCTAGAGTCTTCACCTGGCTCCATGTCTGCCCACACGTTTTCATCTCCTCTTCACATGACCTCCTCCAAGTCACCCTTGGACGACCAACTCGCCGCTTCCCTTTCGGGTTCCACTCAAGGGCTTGTCTAGTGATGTCACTTGGTGGTTTCCTCAGAGTATAGCCAATCCATCTCCATTTCTTCCTGCCTATTTGTTTCACAATCGGTTCCTGGTTGGTTCGCTATCGCCAGAGATCTCTGTTGCTGATCTTTTCTGACTGGCCATCTGATCTTGAGTACTGAGCGAAGACAACTGTTAATGAAGGTCTGTAGTTTGTTTGAGATGCTCTTTATGACGCGCAGTGCAAGTCTCTGATCCGTATGGTAGCACTGACTTCACATTGGAGTTGAAAATCCGGATCTTATTTTTGATGCTGAGTGTTGTTGACCTCCACACAGACTTGAGAGTAGTGAAAGCTTGTCTTGCTTTTCCGATTCTTGCTTTGATATCCTCGTCAGTTCCGCCTGTAGTTGAAACGATGCTTCCCAGGTAGGTAGAGGAGGTTGTTTCTTTCAGGTTCCTCCCATTTATGCTGATTGTTGTCTGTTGTTGTTGTTACTGTTGGTGGTGTTGCCCAGGAATCTTCATCACCTCTGTTTTCTCTATGTTCACCTGAAGTCCTACCTTCTCTGGATGCTTCTTCTGCCAACTTGTTGCTTTTCACTTGCATATCTTCCAGTTTGTGAGAAATCAGACATATATCATCGGCGAAGTCAAGATCCTCCAAGTTTTTTGTGTGAGTCCATTTTATGCCTGTTTCCTCATTGCCCGCTGTTTGTCGCATTATCCAGTCTACTGCAATCAAGAAAATCATTGGTGATAGTAGGCAGCCTTGTCTTACTCCTGTCCTCACTTCGAAGGATTCCGTAAGTTTCCCGTTGTGGATTACTTGACATGCAGCATTGTCGTACAGCTGTTGGATGAGATGTATAATTGTCGGTGGCACCCCGTAGTAGCGAAGTAGTTTCCGAATCACCTCTCGATCGACACTGTCTACTGAAGGCCTTTTCAAAGTCGATGAAGTTGAGATAGAGAGGTGACTGCCATTCCAGGCTTTGTTCAATGATGATCCGTAATGTGGCGATGTGATCAATGCATGACCTGTTTCTCCTGAATCCAGCCTGTTCCGGTCGAAGTTTTTCATCCAGGGCATGTTTGATTCTCTCCAGGATGATGCGACTTAGTATTATTCACTGATATTTTCGCTCTGGAGAGAGAGAGATGTGTTTATTTGTATTTGAAGTAGTATTGAGCTTCACATGCTCAAGTCAAGTTAGATTTCATCACAAAACAAAGTCAGTTAGTGGTAATCGAAAACACCAGTGAGCACTTGACAGCCGTTTCATCCCAGTTTGAAAATCTTCATCAATGTGAACATTCACAGCCGCATGAAGGAACTAACGAGAGGGGGAACTTCAGGTTACAGGGTCATTGAGAATTCAGCCACTTGGTCTAGGACTCAACGGCCCATGAATTTTAATTTATTGAATTCGTGATAAAATTTAGTCCCAATTCTCACAAATCCCATAATGTAAAAATCTACGTAGTTGGAGAAATTTACAAAGTTTGTATATATATATATGTATATAGTTCCTCAGTTAGTAGACTGAAAGTCAGGGAGTCTGTTTACTAAGTCATGGCACGTTGGGAAGGTCTTCAGTTATGTCACTGAAACCTGTTCTGGACTGCGCTAAACAGGTTCACACCAACTTTTGACACTATCAGTGGTTAAAGGCAATACCAAAGAAGCTTAGCACTGTTCGTTTTTCAAAAGAAGCAGTTTAATTATATTACCTTTTGACAGGTAGAGATGGCAGTGTATAAAGATTCAAAAGAGAAATATAATGAGTGGAAGTGTGCGCGGCAGAAAGAAAGAAAGAATAGTAACGTGCAAAAACATGAGAGTTGAATAGTAGATTTGGGGGATCCCAAAGTGTGAGTGTGACTATGACAATGACAACGATTTTGAGCCGCATCACTAGTAGTCTCCAGCCATCGGTTCTTAGCATCTCGAGGACTTCAGTTAGACAATTTACACCTCCCAACTTGACTGAAACCAACTGTTGAAAACTTCATCGTATTCTGATTTGACCATCCCTAATTTTTCTCCAACCTAGTTCTATGTTAGCTAACTGTAACAGCTATTTGTAATTGTATTTCTCAATGACCTAATCACAAGAAACCGAACGACAATACAGAAAGGGGGGAACATAAGAAT